AATCAATCCCAGATGACAAAAAAAAATAAAAAATTTCAAACTACCACTTCAAACATCCATGTCTCACCACCTCTCTACCCATTCCTCCATCTATCATCATCCACAAACACAAAACTCACCATAAAAAAAAAATTTCCTATCTTTTCTCATTTCTCTTCCTTTTGCTCTCACTAATCTTCATCACTCAAAATCATTACTTCCATTAACCTCACATCCACCATTTCATAACTTTTTTTGTTTTTCTTGGAGAAAAGTACACCCCTAACCCTAAAGTTCTTCCCTCTCAAATCTGAAAAAATTAAATTTGAGACCATTTTACTCCTTTTTTATTTTTTATTATTTTTTTGTCTGAATTTTTTTATTTATTTTTATTTTTATTATTATTTAGTTCAACATATAATTTTTTATTTTAGTTTTATTTATTTATTCATCATCATTATTATTTGTTATTATGATAATTATTAATTTAAATAAGGCTAACATAAGAAAAATAAAAATAAATAATAAGAACTCATTCATTAAATATATATTTATATAGAACATTAAAATAACAATTTAAAATATTGAAAAATTTGCATTATTCATCTTCATAGTTGAAAATTTGTAGCATGTTAGATTTATTCCCGGCGGTCATGAACCTTTCGGCATAACGGTGCAGTAAATGAACATTCCGAAAGGTTTGTTGTACAGATCATGTATAATTATTTTCGTGTATGTTCATGCGTTTTTTAAAGGTAAGTGTTTCATGAGTTGCATAGCTATTATTGAATACAAAATATAATAATTTAATATAAAAATATATAATATAATAATAAAATAATCTTTTAAAATATTGTCTTGTAAAAATGAAGATAATTTATATATAAAAAAAGTTAATAAAAATATCATGAAAATCTGGAAAGGACGAGGGAGCTAACACTATAACGTGATGACTCTGATTTCGGCAGTTGACTCCACTCTGGTCTTAATGTCATGTGCCAACTTGGGACTTAGGCAGTTAGGCAAATCTGCTCGTGGGCACGTTAACATATCTTCAGTAACAATTGAACTAATCTTCTAAAACATTAAAGAATATTTTGGATAAATTTAGATTTTGTTTTAATTTCTACATTAAATTTATATTTTTAATTGGATTCATATAAAATAAATTTATATTTTTAATTGGATTCATATAAAATTATACTTTATAATTTTTTTAAAATTAAAAGTATTTCTACTGCTAACTTTTGTTATAATATTATTATTTTGTCTAAACTTTTTTATTTTACTTTACATAGGTAGCACATTTTTTAGTCATTATACGTATTAACAGATTATATAAACTAAAAAAATGTATTGCATATAATAATAATAATAATATGTTATGTATAAATATTAAAATAAAAAATATATATTTTGTATAAAGTCAAAAGAAAAGGAATATTAAAGTAAGTTGATAAAAGATTATGGTAATTCATATATGTTATAGCGGATTATTTAGTGGCCTTGAGCAACATTGATATATATTAATATGTTTTTTAAAAATATTATGAAAAAAATATATTTGAGAGTTGGATTAAAAATAATAATTATACTCTTATTTATTAGAGAGAATTAAAATGAGAGAACATGATTAACTTTTAAGTGTCAATGTATTTATTTATTTATTTTACTTGAAAGTAGTGAAAGTTTCCCATTTTGTTTCATTCTTTCGTCTCATTTGCTAAAGGTTATAATTAAACTTACAAATTTTTTTTAGTACAATTATAGCATATTGATTGTTTTATAGACAAAATATATACATAGATTGTTAGGTACTTTTGATTTTTTTTTTAATTTATTAGTTAATAAATAATCATTTACAATTTGCTTATGGATTATGATAATATTTTTTAATTTGTTTTTCACTGCGAGTTCTATTTTGACTTTAATATAGAACACTTTTTTTTATATGTAACTTATTTTTCGATTTACATCCTTATACATTTTTTTTTTCATGTAATAACTAAAACAAAACACTTGTTGTAAGAATTAAAAAAAAAGTTATATATATAAAGGTTAAAGTAAAATAAATGAATAACGACGTTATAGCATGAACTATTTAAAAACAATGTTTTTATTTAAATATTTATTTAAACTCTTATCATATAAAATATTATTTAATCTTTTTGGATATATTTATCTTTATTTTGTATTTTGGCGTATACGGTCCAGTCCCCCACCCTCGTCAACAGATTTTCATTACCTAAATAATTAAAAGTTATTTGAAAATTAAAATCACTATTTTAATGCATAGTTTCATGAAATTAATTAATTGAAAGTAACATTTATAAACTTTTTAAGTCTTATTTTGTAAATCTCAATTTATAACCTTATTACTTCTACTATTCGTCACTCATAAATAACCACTCCTAATTAATAATTTTTAAAATAAAGTTTAAGTTGGAATTATAATTCAATATTTTATTTGTTTATACAGTTTAAAAATAAAAATAATGATTTAAAATCAGTTTTAGTTTTGATAATATTAAAATTAGAATTATAGTTGTAAACCACAGTTCTAATTTCACGTGTGAAACGGATTCTTAATGTCCACTTTGCTTGTATTGATTAATTAACTTTTGAACATGGACTTAATATGGTTTTTAACATATAAAATGAGTTTCGAAGTTGAATTTTTGCCGAAATCACGACGAGACAGTTTTATTAAATGATAAGTTATTTTCAACATTCTTTAATAAAAATTCAACAAATTATAACTATGCTACTTTTTTTTTTCTATTTTTATAAGAGACAGTTATTATTTAAAATTTTAAAAAAAGAGTTATTCAAAGTATTTTTTCTAAAATAAAAAAACTTATTTTTTAAAAATAAAACAAACAAACTCTAGATTAGTCATACCTTAATGATAAAGGTGGGTGTAATAGTTATAAATTAAATAGAGCAACAAGTCATGAATTACTTAAAAATAAATTCCTGCAATTTGTGCGAAAAATGCAACATCTTATTTTTTCTGCTTATTTTTATTTAAACAAAAATGCGTAAAAATAAAAAAATATTTTCTTTTTTCTTTTACTCACTCACTCAGCTATTTTTCCTCTCTTCTTTCTTTTCTCTCACTCATTTTTTTTATTTTCTCCTTTTTCTTATCTTTTCTTCTTTGAGTCCTACCCAATTTCCTTTTTTTTTCTCTCTTCATCTAGCTCTCATCTCCCGCTAAAACTACATATGATCTGAATCTAAATTACTTATATATACATCTTTAACTAATTAAATGATTTATTTAATTAGTTAAACTGACCAAATTCTATAATAATAATGAACATGAAATAAAAAACAAATAGCCTAGTAATGAATCTTGCAAATTTAAAACAAATTGCCTACTCATGTAGGTGTTAATGAGGCATTAAATACACAAGATTTGAACAAAATGGTACTAACATGAATGATTTGAGGGCAGAAATAAGATTGGTAGTGTAGGACTATAGGGATATTACTAGTTGATACATGTATTGAGATTAGGGTAAAGACGCAGAGCGAAGGAAGAGGATTGTGATTGGCACAAAATACAGAACTTGTGAGCTGACGCAGGACGTCGCTTTCATGAAGAGCTCCCCACTCCAGAGGACACCAAAAAGAACTGAGTAGTGATGGCCTAATCACTTCGTGGCCACCTCTTTGATTAAAGTGCCCTCTATTCTTGCCACTCTCTTTCCCTCTAAATTACCACTTTGCATTTTTTTATGCTTCCCAACTACTTTCCCCTTCTTTTCCATTTTTACCCTAACCCTTCACTCATTTTACGCCCACATACCAAATTCCTTGTCCAACCTTTGCTTCTTGTTGCCTCCTATTAGGTCAACACATCAACAAAAGTTCACACCCAACCCGGCTATCACTCCTACGCTTCACACCTCTTTCTCACCCCTGTATTTATGTACTAAACATTTTATACATAGGTTAATAGTAATACTCCAAGCTTCTATTTTTCTTTATGATTTTCGTGCTTGAGTCTTCCAGGCATATTTTAGACCACTTTCATTTACATTTACATGTAATTGGAGGAGATTCCTTCCCTCAAGTTTTCAATTCTCCTATCTTTTTATTTTGTTAACCAAACAAGCTATTTAATTAAGTTCTTTTGGTGGTATAACAATAGTATGCTAGATTTGGCGTCAAATTGTTAGGTTTGTAAATATGTATTAGATAAATATAATTTTATTAGTAAAAGTATCTATTCTCGCTGTTTGTCTAAAATATTCTTATTATTAACATGATTATAAGACAAAAATATATTTTAAAATGGTTTGAATTACTCAAAATGTTAAAACTACCGGAGCTATCTTAGAAAAGAAAGGGAACAAGTTCCAATTAAGTGACAAATGGCCTAAATTCTCTCACTATGTTCCCATACTTGAATTGGAACGATTAAATATATGGAGAGGAAACCGGTAGAGTAGGGTACTTTGAGTTTAGTGTCTGAAATGAGCGTAAAGTTAGAGGTGTAATGTAAAGATTAACAAAATGAAACAGTGGAGAGAGATTCCAAGGGAAGAAGAAGGAAAAAAGATAATAACACCTTGAGAGGTTCTAATCACTACTAGAATTCTACCTACTCTTTTGACTCCGATGGCAATTTTGATAAAGTACGGGGTATCTAATGCCATAGGGCAGAAAAAGGGTTGTGCCTATTATTGAAATTTTTGTTCCATGCAGGGGTACTTTTGGAAACACAAAGTACAGCTAAACAAACACACGCCCGCACAGAGCTAACGACTTAGCGTGAAGAAGTTGTCTACTGGCATGGACGGATAGGGATGTGAACACAAAGCAAACCAAAGTTAACAAAGGCTGTGATTTCTGCTCAGTGGAACTATGCCTTTTCTGCCCTCTATTTTATTATTATGTTTAAAAATATACATTAAACTTTTTTATTATTTCAATAATCAATAATCATCTGGTTAAAATAATGTTTTTTTGAGTGGATAGTTTGGAAAGAGATAATGCCCTCCTATAATATTGAAAACATTTGTGCTCTTATGCCATGTTCTTATCATCTTTCCTTCCCAATTTCTCTTATCTCAGTTCCATGAACTCGTTCTTTTGAGACGGAAGCACCTTCATTCTTGTCTTTAATTATCTTTTTACAGTGTACAGCTTCTAAAAAGGAATTTAAAAAAAAAAAAAAAAACTCTGCTGGGGAGAGCCAAGCCTTCCACACACTCACGTGCTTATGTAGTTGCTGTTTGGTTTTAGGGTCATGAAGTGGAAGCAAGAGTTTCTTTGCTGAGTGATAATAAAAATCGAATCTTTTGAAGGTTTAGTTTTGGCCCCTCCTTTTGTTCTGCGTCTTGGTTGGTAGCTGCTGCTAGCTGACAAGATAATAACAAGTATCAATTTCTGTTTAGAATTAGAAACCCAGAATCTTGTGATTCTTTTATTCTTTTTCTTAAGGGTATTTGAATTTCTTATCTGCCTCAAATTTCAGTGTTCGTTTGCATTTCCTGAATTTTAAGCTATTGGGGTGGATAAGACAGCATCTTATCAAGGTCACATCTGTTTTTATTTTTTATTTTTATCATTATTGTCTTTTTTTTTTTTATTTCTCCCACTGCAACCTAAGTGATTTTAGGAATTGGGTCTGTGTTGTTGTTCTTCTTTTATTTCTTGAATTTGCTTCTTTCACAAGTCTAAAACATTTTAGTGATTAGGGGTTAGCCTTGTGGGGGATTCTGTGGATTCAACAGTGGTTCTCTCTCTCCTCTCACAACACAAGCCTACCTGGAATCAGATAGAGTTCACACCCACAACCTCTTGGAACTGTTTGTTTTTAACTTGTGTTGGTTACTGTTGTTGATGAGTTTGCTCCATGTAGTTGGGTTTGGTCTAAAAGTGGGGCATCTACTTTTGGTGTTATGTTGCTGGGTTGTGTCTGTCGTTTACCTTAACTGGTTCTTTAGCAGTGGTGGAATAATAGACACCAAGATGGGTTTTCCAGGTGGTGGTGGTGGCAAGATGTGGCTCAAATGGTGGGAGAAGATCTCAGGGCAGGGTTGCAAAATCCACCAACAGTACTATCAGTATATTGGGTCCAAGATAGTGAAGAGGGCGTTGGGGAGAAAGCTTTTGCTGACATGGGTAGTGGGTTGGACCATAGTATCTTTGTGGATCTTCTGCTACATGAGCCTACAAGCTACTGATAAGAGGAAAGAAACTTTGGCTAGCATGTGTGATGAAAGGGCTAGGATGCTTCAGGATCAGTTTAATGTGAGTATGAACCATATCCAAGCCATGTCCATTCTGATCTCAACCTTCCACCATGCGAAGAACCCCTCAGCCATCGATCAGGTACTAAGCTTTGTTTTAATCTTGCAAATCAGGTCTTAATTCCTCCCTGCAAGTGATTAATTATGTTGGCTCACCTTCTACTTTAAGTCTTTGTTTATTATGCACCAAGATATCTTGTCGTCTTAATTGCTAAATTTGGATAACTTAGAAAAGATCCCAAATTCTTTAAACCTTCGATCTTTAATCTCATCTATGCATATCGGTCTAACTTTCAAAACTTGCAGAATACTTTTGCTAGGTACACTGAAAGAACTGCTTTTGAGAGGCCTCTTACGAGTGGTGTTGCATATGCTGTAAGGGTGCTCCATTCTGAAAGGGAACAATTTGAAAAGCAACAAGGTTGGACTATAAAGAGGATGGATACTCTGGAGCAGAACCCAGTTCATAAGGACGATTACGCCCCAGAGGCATTGGAGCCATCCCCCATTCATGAAGAATATGCTCCTGTCATCTTTGCACAGGATACAATTGCACATGTGATTTCTGTTAATGTGCTTTCTGGAAAGGTAGGTTTCTGTTACAGATTCTAGTGAAATTTTATGTGGAGCGCGTCTGAATAATAAATTGTTAATTATGAAAATTGTGAAAATGCTATAAAATATACTTAGATATTCTGATGATAATTTTAACCCATCTGTTCTGAGCTCTTGATTCCTGGTTGTATGGTTTTTGATTGGTCTTTTAGTGGTCATTCATTATGTTTTGGGAAAATATTTTGGGAGGAAAAGTATCTACTCTCCCAGATTGTTGTTTTGTACCCTTGCTCTTCCTTTCTCTTGCCTGTCCTGATGGGACTGCTCTTAAAGGAGAATAGTATACTCTATTTTTGTGAATATCAATTGATACAGGCTGTTCATGTTTGATATCTGAAATCTATGGCAATTTATTTGGAATTTACAGTCGTCACTGTTATTCACTTGTTCATCAACAGGAGGACCGTGAAAACGTGCTGCGTGCAAGAGAATCAGGCAAAGGAGTGTTAACTGCGCCCTTCAGGCTGCTCAAAACAAATCGTCTAGGGGTTATCCTGACATTTGCTGTGTACAAGAGAGATCTTCCATCAAATGCAACCCCAAATGAAAGGATTCAAGCAGCTGATGGGTGTGCCTAAATTTTGAAATTTGTTGCATCTGACATTCATTGATTTTTTCTTTACATTTTCTAGTCATTCATATAATTTGGCTTATTCTCTTTGGGTTATCTAAAGTTACGAAGTAACTAGTATACTAAGAAACTAATCACTGTATTCAAATTTTGAGCTGAGGAGATTCACAAATACTATTAATGTAAGAAGGGTGAATAATAATTTGGCTCTTCCATTTTGATAATTAGAAGTTACAAATCTACTTTTAAATTCGGTAAAGCTGATGGGAAAAAGGAAAAAAATATCATGAACACGGTTAAAGAGAGTAGCATTTTGATGTCTTCACTACTTTTGTGCAGGTATCTAGGGGGAGTCTTTGATGTTGAGTCATTAGTGGAGAAATTACTTCAGCAACTTGCTAGCAAGCAAACTGTAATTGTTAATGTGTACGATACGACAAATCATACTCATCCAATTCCCATGTATGGCACAAATGAGTCAGGGGATGTGTTCTATCACGTCAGCACTCTTAACTTTGGAGATCCTTTTAGGAAGCATGAGATGCACTGCAGGTGAGAGCATTCTACAGAAGGAGTTTAATATCCCTGTCCTCCTAAATGCTCGACATGGTTTGTGCGAATAGCAGTGCCACCTTAAAATTGGTAGAAGATATATTTAACAGAGGTGTATTAATGTCATATGATTTAATACTTCATTAACTTTACAATATTGTGATTTTGCTGTTAGCAATGCGTAGTTTAGAGTTCTTCTATGTCTAGTTGTCACACTTTTTTTTTGGGATCACCCAGTCTAAATTAATTAAAATACATTACAATGATTAAAATGTGCAAGTTGTCATGGACTTGAACTATTCATAAAATTCAAGTTTGATGCTTACCCAGGTTCAAGCAGAAACCACCATGGCCATGGTTGGCAATAACTACTTCAATTGGCATCCTTGTTATTGCACTCCTTGTTGGACATATTTTCCATGCTACTGTGAATCGAATTGCCAAAGTAGAAGATGATTGCCGAAAGATGAAGGAGCTTAAGAAACGAGCTGAGGCAGCTGATATTGCAAAATCCCAGGTAAGATTTTTTCAATTTATTTATTTAACTTCTTGTTTTGGCTTAACTTGCACTGATCATGTGGGCATAATCAATTGTAACTGCAGTTTCTTGCTACTGTTTCACATGAGATCAGAACACCAATGAATGGTGTCTTAGGTGAGTCGTCTGACTATGGTATAGTCTACCACGTCCAATGTTTATACAATCCACAAAAAGAGCTTCTTAAGCCATGACCCTGCTCTAAATTGGATTTTCAGGGATGCTGCATATGCTTATGGACACAGATCTAGATGTAACCCAACAGGAATATGTCAGGACTGCACAGGAAAGTGGAAAAACTCTTGTTTCACTTATAAATGAGGTTTTGGACCAGGCAAAGATTGAATTTGGTAGGCTAGAGCTTGAGTCTGTGCTCTTTGACTTACGGTCAATTTTGGATGATGTATTGTCACTATTTTCTGAGAAGTCTCAAGGAAAAGGAGTAGAGGTAATATACCTCTTGTCTATTGTTATTGTGATGGAATTTTCAAAATGTTCATATTCTAATTATAGTTAATAGTTTTTCATGATTTTTTTTTGGAAAGTACAGTTGGCAGTGTATGTGTCGGATCAGGTTCCAGAATTGCTAATAGGTGATCGAGGAAGATTTCGACAAATTATTACCAATCTCATGGGTAACTCAATCAAGGTAAGTCTATAGTAGAGAGAAGAACATTATGTATAATGAAATTTATGTAGAGATCTTCCCCCGTCCTACATCCTCCTTACCTTATATGCATACTACTGTCATCATAGTTTCATGGAATGAAAATAATTTCTATTAGTGTTCTTGCCAAGAATGACTATCAGTAGAGCAAAATTGATGTGTATTTCTAGAAAGTACCATTAAAACTGATCTTGTATTTGTTTGGCAGTTCACCGACAAAGGACATATTTTTGTCACTATCCATCTTGTTGAGGAGGTTGTCCATTCAATAGAGGTTGACAGAGAATCCAACTCAGAAAATACCTTGAGTGGTTCCCCTGCAGCAGATAATCGCCGGAGCTGGGAAGGATTCAAGGCTTTCAGTCAAGAGGGACCTCTTGGTTCTTTCTCATCCTCCTCAAATGATCTTGTCAGTTTGATTGTGTCTGTTGAGGATACAGGTGAAGGTATTCCTCTGGAAGCCCAGCCCCTCATCTTCACTCCATTCATGCAGGTAGGTCCATCCATCTCCCGAAAGCATGGGGGAACAGGTATTGGCCTAAGCATTAGCAAGTGTTTGGTTGGCCTCATGAATGGGGAAATTGGATTTGTAAGCATACCCAAGGTTGGATCCACATTCACTTTTACTGCTGTCTTCACCAATGGACACCGCAGTTCAAATGAGTGTAAAATTCAGCAAATAAACAACCAACCTCAGGCTGCATCTTCAGAATTTGAGGGGATGACTGCATTGATTATTGATCCAAGACCTGTTAGAACAAAAGTTTCTAGATATCACATCCAACGGCTTGGCATTCATGTTGAAATGGTTTCAGATTTAAACCAAGCTTTGTCAACCATAAGCAATGGGAGTATAGTTATTAATATGGTCCTGATTGAGCAGGAGGTCTGGGATAGAGATTTAGGCTTGTCATCTCACTTTGTCAATAGCACAAGGGAAGTTGATCATGGGGTTCCTCCAAAGCTGTTCATTCTTGTTAATTCTAGTAGTTCTTTTAAAGCAAGTAGTGTAAACTTGGGTGTTCATAATCCTACTGTCATCACGAAGCCTCTGAGAGCAAGCATGCTTGCTGCATCACTACAGCGAGCCATGGGTGTCCGGAACAAGGGAACTCCTCGAAATCGAGAGCTTCAAAGTTTATCTCTTCGCCATCTTCTTGGGGGCAGGAAAATTCTAATTGTAGATGACAATAGTGTGAACCGTGCAGTAGCTGCTGGTGCTTTGAAGAAGTATGGGGCAGACGTGGTTTGTGTTAGCAGTGGAAAAGAGGCCATCTCTTCATTGACGCCACCACATCAGTTTGATGCCTGTTTCATGGATATTCAAATGCCAGAAATGGACGGGTATGTATGCAAGTTGAATACTTTCAAAATCTTATAATTTATCATTTGGAGTAATATTTTAAATTTCTACTTAAACATAGACGAGAGTAATTTTTGCTACAAAGATTTGTGAAACAAGATTCATGTATGTTAAGGATACGAAGCATTTTGAGGCTAACTTCTTGCCACAGCAATACCACAATTCATTTTACAATTCTAAATAAAAAAATATTATTTAAAGTATTAATTTATGTACTTCTACTTCAAAAATTACAATTATCATTGTGTTACAAATTGCTAATAGCAATTCTTTTCAACAGTTTTGAAGCTACAGTGCAAATTAGGAAGATGGAAGATAGTGTGAACAGAGAAGCATCTATGGATGAGTTTAAGAATATTTCAAACTGGCATGTGCCCATTTTAGCCATGACTGCGGATGTATTCCAAGCTACACATGAGAAATGCCTAAAGAATGGCATGGATGGATATGTTTCAAAACCATTTGAAGCTGAACAGCTCTATAGAGAAGTTTCACGGTTTTTCCAGTCATCTTGAAAAGAAAATACAGTGCTGATCCAAACCAAAGGGTTATGATAATGGAAGCATAGCTGTCTGTACTCCAGGGCACTCTGAAAGTGGATAAATAGGTTCAGATGTCTCCTGAGAGTAAGTATCCTATTTTAACAGCCAGTGCTTGTTTTAGTATTTCTCCACCTCAAAGTTTGATGGATTTCATTAGAGACCGAAGAATGTTTATCTATCTCATCAGAAAGAAAAATGATGGATGGAAGAAAGGGGAAACAAAAAAATATTGTAGAAATTCAGAAATGGTTCATTCTACCTTTTTGACCTATCTTGTATTTTCTGCTGTTTGAAGGTCCCCCAGTTTAAAATATTGTTTTTGTGGCAGGGAGTGTACATAGGAGCCAAGTTTAATTGGTTGCAATTGAGTTTTAATTGGTTGTTAAGGGGTACCAAAACCCTTTGATTCTTCCTTGTAAAGTCAGTCTCTCTTCTCATCCACAATGATGGAGGCTGATTAGAAGACTAGTGTATTATAATGCAGGTTCTGGAGTCTCATCCTTGTGTATGTAATAATACAACTTATAGTAATCTAGCCTAGGCATTAGGCACGTTACATTTTATGTGTATTGATGATGCATGTATCACAAGGGCTTGATTCAGGTGAAGGAAAGGAAATTAGCTTCTTGGCAACAATGGGAGCTAGTGCACCATCAATCTTGTATATGACTCACAATAAAGATGGTGATTGATGAGTACCTTCAGCAGCTTGGTTGGCTTCCTTTTGAGCTTAACAGTGCTGGAATTCGGCTTTGAAACATGTAACTGATACATTATACTGTAGTGTTTGAGTGATCCACCATTTTTTGGCCGATTTGTACATTTCTGCTTCTGGATTTCCTTTCGCTCGTTGCTTTGCCTTGACATGTCATGAAATGATTCCTTTTACAATTTGAATCTCAATAGTCAATTTACAAGCTAATGTTCTCAAATTATGATGCCCAAATGTTACATCGGTGGAATTTAACATGTACTTAGTAGAAATGGACCATCATGGACCTGGCATGGCACAACAGATTAATAATGACTATAGGTATGTTAGTAATTTACTCTCTCTAATACACTGTTAAACTAACCTGGTGTTATTATATGGTCACACATCTTAATGCTTTACATACAAATTGCTATATGGTCCTTCTAAATTAGGAACAGACGTGTTTTGTCCTTGGAGAAGAAGTATCGAGTCTTGTTTTGCTACAATGTTTATCTTCTGGGGGTTTTAATGTATACTATCTCCTAACGCCAACTACTACATGGCTAATAAATGGCTGGTCCACATTTGTCTGTTCGTAACATATTCAATTTATTACAAAAATAATAGGAACAAGTTTATATTGGTAACTTTTTTTTTAAGTTAATAACAAAAATAAATGTTTTTAAAATTTACTGATAAAAACGTATTACTAATGTGCAAACACTTTTGGATATTAGCTTGGCTTATATTTTTGTAATACTAAGAAATACGTATAAAACAAAATGAAAATACTTTTAAAAAATTCTAATAGAAAAATCCAGAAAAGATGCATTTTTTATTAGCTTGATCATAATTGTTTCTTTAAAATGGGATTAGCTGATAAGATTTTTTTAAGAAACTAATAGGGCAATTTTTTAAGATACGAACAAGTCATAAGAAAAAAAACAAACATAAAATTAATAGTTGATAAAATAGTGAAAATATATTATAATCTGAGAAAGATGCAAAATAATTAAAAGAACTAAAAAGAACATCATAGTTTTCAAGAGAAAATATTCACTATGATTTAAGGAATAAATAAACACAATTAGATTAATTCACCGTATTCATTTAAAATCTTAAAGCAATGAATGGTAGGACAATATTCTTATATACTGATCAACTTCTCTAATATTAGACAACGTAAAACCTCTTTTTTTACTCAACTTATATTTACCAAGATTTTCAATGCAAGTTATTTTAAACTGCATGGCAATGCATATACGACTCATAAGTTTGAAATTCGATAAATAACTGGGGGAAGATACAAACCCATCACTTTTCTTGGAAATTGAGTACATACACTGTAACAACAGATAGTTTACATTGAATTTTTTCCAAATCAGAACTCATAAGCTTTTAATTCTACAGTAATTATCATATCCTGTACCTTTTCCTTCTCCAGCAGGAGATTTCACCGTATTGGCAGGGGACTTGTACAACATAAAACACCCAGTAGTAACTTTTTGCATCTTTGGATAAAAGTCATTAATCATTGTAGACCATGCGTTATAACTAGGAAACAAGACAACCTTCTCTGTTTAAGAAATCTTATTCAGCTTTATCTTTATCTTTATTCATAGTGGATTTGAGGACCAATTAGATAGAGTATACAAAAACTTTTAAGCAATTTGCTTATTTGAAAGCTGATGCCAAAGCAGATGTAGTTTTAATTGGATATTAATTATAAGGTACTTGATTGTTGGGTAGACAAGACTTGCACATTTCAGATATCAAATGTGGGGTTCCGTTGGTACCCTCAGTTTCACAATAAATTTTTCCACCAGTTTAGTAAATACGTATTATTGGCGTGGATATGCTTGTTTATCTGCTGTACCATGTAATGCCAACACTTGTATTCATGGCACAATCAAAGGAACTTGCTTCCAACGCATGAGTGCCCATTTAATTTGAAGTCAAGTAAAATTAATTTTAAACCATCAAAATTAAGATGTATATAAATTAAATTATATACTTTATTTAAACCATAAAATGTGAGAATTAAAAATTTTCACTTATAAAACAAACAAAGCCAAAAGCAAACTGCATAATCGTTCTTGAATACAGAAGTTCAAATCTAAAAACAACCCAAAAAAAATGTCGCTAAAGTTTCGCAATAGAGTCTTTGTTTTATCTGCGACCATATTTATTTATTTTGGCAAACAACATTCCATACAGTTGTCTTTCAACAAGGATACTTAGTTTTGAAGAGTCAATTCTTCTTAAGAAATGTCCTTTTTTTATTCACCTTAGGTTCTTAGCCAAGACAAGGGAAAAAAAAAAACACTTTACTCGTAAATTCATCACCATGAAAATGTTTTCAGTACTAGAGTGAGGATGCTTTATATGAGTGTATTTTTAAGATATCTACGTATAAAACAATAATAGTATTAAATAAATAAATAATAATATATAATATTATATGTAGTATTAATTTCTAGCAATTCGAATAACAGTTTACGATTCCCATGTAATTACATGGTTTTGTAAGAATAACATGGCAAAACTTTGAAAAAGAAACAATAAGTAAAACTAAAACTGAACACATCTAAAACCAAGCTTTTTTATAAACTGAACTTATTAAATAATTTGGGTTTATTTTTATTAGGGTCAGACTTGATTTAACGAGCAAAAATAGAATTTTCAATGCAAATCATAAGATAGATGGATGCCTAAATTGATCCGCTAAAAAAATGCAGCAGACGCTTTAATCCTTAAAAAAAAAAAGCAACTGTTTTAGTTTCTAGAAATTATAAATACGATACTTTTTTTTCCTTACGTTCAATAAATAAAATGATTTAAAATCTCCCATTTATAATTTTGAGAGACTATTTTGTAACCATTTTTTAAGAATTAAATCGAGTAAAAAAAAAAATTCAAGAATTTCATTGGGTATTGATTCTAATAAAATTATTTATTATATGCTTTCTTAAGCACTTTAAATGACAACAGAAGTTTCTACCAATTAAGTCAAACGCAAAATGCTCTTTAAATATTTCACATCATATATATTCCTTTTAAATTTGATGATTTTGAACTATTTAGCTTTTTTGTATTAAATTAATTCTACACATCTAATTATTTGAATAAAAAATGAAAAAAGGTTTTATATAAATAAAATTTAATCGAATGATTTGATCATAATAATTAAAAGTTGAGAGACTAAATTTGGCATTGAAAAACAATTTCAGTTTAAAAGTAAAAGGAAACGTAGATATCAGCCTCGTTGATATGTCCGAGTGGTTAAGGAGACAGACTTGAAATCTTTTGGGCTTCGCCCGCGCAGGTTCGAACCCTGCTGTCGACGACTTTTTCTTGTTGTTTTTATAAATATATTATTACGTAATTTTTTTTCTCTTAATTTATCAGTGTATGTATATCTTTAATTACTAATACAAAAACTTTATTGAAAGGTTAACAATACATGACAGCATATATAAAACAGGCTCTTGCTTTTCTTGATGGAAATACTTCAATTTTATAAAAGACCATCAAACGATCTATTATATTAGCGCTTAGATTTTTATTTATTTTTGGTTTATAAGTTACTTTTAAATTTTTTGGTCACCACTTTGATTCTTCAAAAATACCTTTAAATTATATACATAATTTCTTTAGTTCTCTTTAAGGGTGAACACAGTGATATATATTTTTTTATCATCACTTTATATACATAATTTTTATATAAAATAGAGTAATAATTTTCTTCCTAATAAAACTTTTTCACGTTGATAATAGTTATAATTACATTGTAATTGAGATAAGTTTAATCGTTAATGAATAATGTGAATAAGAAGTGGGTTGTTCTTAAACGTAATAAACACGCGACCTTGTTTGAAGATGAATATATATAAAAAATAAATAGGGAGAGAGAGAGAGAGAGAGTGAGAGAGAGAGATGGATCCAGACACAGTGGCGAAGGCATTCGTGGAGCACTACTACTCCACCTTCGATAACAACCGCCCAGGATTAGCGAACCTCTATCAAGAAGGTTCTATGCTCACCTTCGAAGGCCAGAAGATCCAAGGCGCTTCCAACATCGTTGCCAAACTCACTTCGCTTCCTTTCCAACAATCGCATCACTCCATCTCCACGGTCGATTGTCAACCCTCCGGCGTCAACGCCGGCATGCTTGTCTTCGTCAGTGGCAATCTCCAACTCGCCGGCGAACAGCACGCTCTCAAGTTCAGCCAGGTACCTTCCAACTTCCTCTTAGGGTTTACGATAAAATTCAATGCGTCTTCTGATTCCTTGTTGCTGATTTGGCTCCTTTACTTGGAGTTGGCTTAAGAGAGGGGCGTGTAAAATGTAGATTTCTTTGGCTAAAAGGAAGACCTAAATTGTTAACTGTAAGGAGGATTTAGTTTATTGTTAATATTATTGACGTTAGAGTCTATGATGATGAGGTGAAGGACGAGTTAGGAATGTTATCAAATCAAATCAAATCAAATCATAGTGTTTGCATGAATTGCCAATTGATCGGAAATAATGGTTAGGATGTGATTCGAAATCTCAAGGTATGTTTAGAGTAGAGAGAAGCAACATAATTATCTGTTCGTTTATCGTAATGATTTTTAGAAACTGTGTTAATAAATTGGATCAGAGTTATTTTTTGGATGGTTATGGATTGTACCAAACGTAACTTGGCCTCGCGTCACTAAGCATTATGCCTTAGACCACCCTGTCAACAAGGGGGAAAAGTTCATTTTGACGTTTGGGAAATGCTTCATGATCTCAACCTCCCTCGACGTATGCTCTTATCAACGGCTGTTCGTGACTTCGTGGTGCTTTCGTCAATATCAATTTGCTTGCACTTTTCTTTATCGGTGCTGGGGTAGGTTATTCAAAATTCCCCTCTTCCAAATTGCGACCTGGCTTCATTCAGAATTCAATTTTTTGGCCTGTGGAATCCTTCAAAACAGCTCCTTTTACCCTACCATTTTTGTAGTAGTTGACGTGGTGTCATCTTCAATCACTGAAAGTTTGGCTTTTTCCCATTCTTTTCACAAGGAGTCGATGGAGTTGCTCAACAATTGCTCTAGAGGCTTCAATTTTGATGAATTTTCAACCTCTATAAGCGGAGTGCATTCTCATAATCTTATGTCTTGATCCAGCTTTAAATATCACTCTCCCTACTGAAAATTTTGCTCTTTAAAGAATAAAAGCAAAGATCATTACCAGAACAGACAACTGGAACTTGGCAGCTAGTCACAGATGTTAAAGTAAACATCTTGAAGTTTATGTGGAAGTTGAGCAATGATCCTTGCCAGTAGGAGACCTGCAAAATTGCTGCGACCTCTTCCTTAAGAACTGGCTCTCTCTGTTAATAAATTTAAGGACCTTAAAAAAAGTTAAAAACCAAGATGGATTGAATAGTTCTGTTAGAAATTTTAATGGATGGGATGGCTCTATTAAATAAATCATGAATGGATTGGTTTTCATTAATAATCTTTCAGGGGTCGTCTTTGTAGTCAAAGAAAGGGATCCAATTTGTGGGAATAGATGAAGGTCGTTTTGATTACATAGAATAAGATAAGAAAATATTTCATGGGATTGCAATTTGAAAATTTATACTTACATTTTTTTTGTTTTTATTCTTTATAATAATGTTAATGTTGTGATGGAATTTTAATTGCACTTTTACTTCCGTATTTTTATTGGCCCTTGCTATACATGTGTACATTGCTCTTATACTAGTAATTGTATATGTTCTTTTTTCCTTAATGTAGAAACATTTATTGTATTTTGGTGGACATTTCATCTCTCTCTTTCTATCTCTCATCTTGCTTTGCTGTCTTCTCATTGACTGTATATCTAATTATGGCGATGACTAAATTTGTCACTCTGTTTCCAGATGTTCCATTTGATACCAACACCGCAGGGAAGCTATTATGTGTTGAATGACATATTCCGTTTGAACTATGCATGAAGATAGACCATCAAATATGTGACCTGAAAGGCCAAAGAAGTTTACCTATAGCTGTTTCACAGTTTCTGATTGGACATTTGAAATTGAAAAATGGGTTCTTTTTGGATGGTTGTGTTGAACGCTTAATTGTGCCTTTTGTGTAAGAATTTTGTGTTTGACTGGTTAAAAAAAGCCTTCAAGGATAAATTGTTAAAAGATTACCGGTTATTGGAGATTAAAAACTTCATGGATCCAAGCAACTTGATCCAGTTACCTCTACAAATTAGTTTATGCTGCTTATCATAATATTTACTTTGTATTTGGTTGCGAATGAAGGTTTGTTTTGTTCTCTTAAGATCAGCAAGACTAAGCTTGCAATGGATTGACTGTTCTGAGCTGCACAAGGAACAAGTTTCATTTTCGTTCAGTATTTAACACTATGCTGTCTTTCTTGGTCACCTCTCCCCGGGAAAACGATATTAACTGTAGATTTGCTATGTAACGATTCTGGTTAGAATGGGGACTAAAGGGTAATAATTATATTGACTTTGCTAGCATAATAACATATAATTGCAAAATAGTCATTTACTTGAGGTTCAGGGAGGTTTCGTTGTGATTTTGAGAAATTAAGTTGAACTCTGAGTGATTTTTAAGTTGCATTTTCAAATTCATGATTTATAGCCGTGAAGAGACGATGCCGAAGTGGAATGTTAAAACTTATACAGGCTGGCAATATAAATGGTGATATCTCCTGCCATGTCATTTTATGTGCATTTGATGGTGATGCCAACGACATAATTGTGTGATCAAATCTGTTCCAGCCATGGCTGTCAAGCAAACTAACCAAATTCGGCATAAACAAGGAAAGAGAAACGAGAACGGAAGCCACTTTGATACTTTCTAACTTGGGACCCTTTGTGTGTTCGGACACCCTTGGGCTTGAGCATTGCTTGTGGATTAGCAACTATGATGCTTTAACAACAATAAGAGCAGTTTCTAATACAATCATAAAAAAAAAAACTACATAAGCCGACAATGATGCATATGTTTACAACATATCTTCCAATGATCCTATATCTAAGCCAATTAAATTGAAAACCGCACCCTACTTGCATCCAAGACCATTTCATATTTTACAAGTAAAAAAGCTCATCGCCATTATACTAATCTACACTGTATACGAACTAATAAGTCAGCTAATTGGTGACGCCAGAAATTGACCATTCAAAGAACGAAGATTAGCAAGGCTAGCGTTGCTCTTATGGAAATTGATAAAAATCATCTTCCATATTCAAAGCGCCTCCTATAGAAGTTGATGATGCTTCTTCACTCGTACCCGCACGTTCAGCCTGCAAAAGATTTGACAGGTTATGCATTGCCAGCGCACAAAACAATTGCACTCCGAACTAAGGTCAGAATGGGTGATGGTCACTGTTTTGTCTTATGACTCTCAAGAGTAAAATGTCCTGGAAGCCTCATGCAAAAGTGGCAAACTAATGGGTGCTATAGAGATATTGACAGCTCTGATAAAAAGACAAACTTGGTTTTTCGCTTTTAGAGTAATTAACCTTAGCTTGACGATATTTCTCAAGCATGCGATGATATTGCTCACGAGCATCCGGGGAGTCAACCATGGACAGCACCCGTGAAACAGCCTCTTCAATTTCTACATCCACTTTCTGTTTTCGGAACACCTTAAGAATGTCTTCATCTTCATTTTCATTAATGTCCATCTCTTGTCTGAAACCTCGTAAACCAGTTCCTTTTCTTCTCCATCGTAGCACAACCTTGTCCAAAATTCCAACTGCCCATATTACCTTGTAGTGCTTCCTAACCTGGTAACCCCTCACATGAGCCTGCCCAAATAAATTAGAAATAACTTAGGTTGATAAAATGCCGTTGAAGATTCAAAGTATGCACGTGCACGTGCATCTACAAGCTTGCGTATAACTCTTTTTATATAGCTCCTGGAATTTATTTTGTTCCAGTCAAACTGTAAAGTTAAATTCTATTACCTGTATCTTCACTACTTTTTGGCGCAATGCTAAGAAATCTTTGCGACCTTTCCATCCTCGATATTTCTTCTGAATTGATAAGGCAGCTGAATTATAATCACGTGCATTCCGAAAGACAAGTTTTGACATAGCAGAAAGCTCTGGAATGTTACCAGTACCACCTGCACTCATACCATATCTATCTATACCAGCAACTGCTTCTCTCGCTCTTTGTTTTCTAAATGAATGAGAGCGGAAAGCAGCTTGTATCCGTGCAGCTGCCTGAGTTATATTTCTAATAGCAGCCAAGGTATCTTTGAGCGAAGTCTGATCCTCACTGGCAGTGAGATTTTCCTTGGAGACACTACTAACCGTAATATCCGCTTGAAGCTCAGCAGAACTTTTAGATAGCTCACTCTCTTCCAATGTAAGAGATGACAGATGGCTTGTTACTGCTACCTCTGAAAGATACCCTGCCAGTCCCTTGTGCCCACTGCTGGCTGCAATAGATGCAGCCGTTTTACCAATTGGATCATGTGCACTAGGATCTGTCACAGCCCCAGCAGATGCTCCAGAAGCTATAAGTGAAGCAACCATTTTTTCCCTACGTTGAATAAGGAACACTTCAATAAAATAACCTCCAGAATACTGTAAATGGAACATAATTTATACAATGGTTTGCAAAGAAACACGACTATTATTGACTATTCTTGATATGATCATCAGTTCTGGCAGATGACTGAATGAAGAAATATTTTTTTCAATTAGATATAAAAGTCAGCATTTGCTTCGATTGATTAGGCATTATATACGTGTTCAACAATTATTGAACCAAGCCAAGTAATTTCTGATACGAGAAGTAATCCTTGCTGCTAAAAGTGGTAAGTTTTATATTCTCTGTTGTCATCAATTTCTACATTTGACTGCCTGACTTGGCACTGCAAACTGCCAACAAACTTAACCTACAGGGATTTTGTTAATTTTAGAAATTGAAATTGCAGTATATTTGATATAATTTTAAGTTTAATTTTCAGACTTGAATATTGAAAACCCTTATCATATCTGTTGGCTTTCATTTAAGTGTTTTATGCCTTCAATAAGAGATCAGGTAATTTATTCTCCTTTCTTTCTCCTTGTTATCTTTCCTTCCATCTCTTCTCTTCTCCCAGGGGAAAAAAATAACAAGGATTTATATATAGATTTTATCAAGCAAATTTTGTTCGTTGAAAATTTTAAGTATGTATACTTTCCTATCTTTATTGCATAAGTCTTGCCTTGTATAACAATATTAACATCTTTCACCAAAACTAAATAAATCAGTCAACAAAGTAGCAAGTACTCTAGAGTTTTAGATTACCTTCCAAAACGTGCAGCCCAATGAAGAGCAGTCCACCCATTGATGTCACGGAAATTTATATTCACTCCACAACTGAGAATAGGGTTCAAGGCCCATTCAAAGCCCAACCCAGCAACCATATGAATAATACCCTGTTCTTTCTTGGACAAAGAACAGCCTGTCTCTTCATCTTTTTCCTGGGATCTGCAAGAAAGCCACAGTTCCATCTTATCCTTTAAAAGCTCTTCAAGAAGCCAATCCATAGCACCAGATGAGGTTCCGCTGCCAAATAGAAGCGCCTCTATTATATGGCTCCAAGAATCATCATCAGCTTTCTGTTTTATGAGAGGAATTCTAGAATCTATGCTGTCATCCTTTTCAGTTGATGCAGAAAGAAGCATCTGTCCTAACCGAACAAGTAATAACAGCTCTTCTGGACTTCTAGTGGGTTCTGTTTCCAATTGAGTACAGTGGGTGCAACTATTGGTCTTATTGCGATATTCAAACTCTCTGACTTCACTGCAGGACTGCCGGTTTCCAGAGGTAATGCACAGAGTAACCTTTCCAATAAGGTGAGATGGAGCTTCACAACAAATTACACCATCCTGAATTATCTCAACAGGAACTTCAACATCACCAAACATGCAGGCCCAGGCAGAATCTGAGGGATGACAGAGAAAAGATCCAACAATGATGACCTATGCAGAATATAGAGCTTTAGGAATCAAATTTGGACAGAATCAACATTACATATTCATTTTAAGATAAGAAAGTTGAAAAAAAGGAGACGAGATACATATGTCCCAACTAGTTAGGTCTTAAATGTCCAAAGTCACAAGTTAGAAGTTTTGAACAATATTTCCCTAACCTAAATATTTATAAATAGACCGGGCTTTATATATAACTGCTTTACACCACAATTACCTCAAGCAATTTATATAGATTTCAACAAAGTATGAAGTCTAAAGCTCTTCAAGAACCTAGATCAGGTAGAAGCACCAATAGTTATTAATCAAAAGAATGGGTAGTTTTGACATTCGGAAGATACCACCAACTACTGCAGAGTTAACCTTGAAAAGCACAAACCTTGGTAGTTTCAGTGGCATAACCCCATTCTGGGGAGACCGCTTTAATAGTAAATTTCTGTTTTTGTGCAACAGTCAAGCTTGAATCTGAATCCAGAGGTGCTCCAATTTGGCTTTGGTCAAACAATGTTGCATAGTAGTCAGAATTAATTTCTTGTGTTTCTACCATAGAAGAATATTGAGGAAACTTGACTCCACCAATGCCTTGAGGTAGTGAGAAAATGGCTGTAACATGGGAGTGGAATCAAGTTAAAGGAACTCCAAAGTGCCAAAATTATTGTTAAGTTAATCAGGTGAAAGTAAATCATACAGTTTTCAGCATTATTGCTGTTGAAGTTTAGCCAGTTACTGTTTTCCTGATTGGCAACTTCTTCCCTTCTCAAAGGAGATGGTGAATTTTCCTGCTTTAAGTATCAAACAGTTTAAGAATTGCAAAACACAAGAAAAAGATCATTTTGTTGTATGAGCTAACATAAATTGCGAAATTATATGAATCTATGAAATATGTCCAAGCAGTACTTACATTTCCATCTAGCATGTATAGATTTTTCCGTGGTAACTTGTTTGTGGATGAGGACTTACATGATTCCAGCACCTCTGTCCATACAGCCTTTTCATTTCGACCAGGGCAACCATGGTCTATTAATTCATGATAACATTCACCACCATCACCTATAAGAATATACACCACTTATAGCATCTTTTACTTTCCTCTCTTTCCAGTCAATGTTTTCATAATGAAGAGAAAACAAACTACAAAGAGCTGAATTTCACTTGAAATTCAAAATATGAAAATTTTAAAAAAAGTTGAGGGTTGAATAACTGACTGATAAGGAAAAACTTCGGTCAAAGAGTTACAATAATTTGACAAGTAAACCTTTGGCCACAATTGTAACAAATAAGTTCCTAGAGCAGGTGGTATAAAAGCCCAAAAGTGCAACCAATAAATCCCGAGTAGACAAGTTAACTTTAAACAACCGCAACTTTTTATCTAGGTAGAGTTACAGGGACTATATGATATAAACAGACAGTTTCTCTTGAGCTTGCACGTAGCAACCACGCTGTTGAGCCCAACTTTAAACCCAAACTCCATTGTTTAAGTATGTTTTGAGGTTGTTTTAGTATTTTTCCTTAAATTTAGTACTTTCCATGTTTGATTAGGAGTCCTAGTTTGGGTTAAAAATCACCACCCTCTGTGCTATGCTCTGATTACAATAAGAGAGACAACCAGCATATAACAATTGTGGAATTGGGTTTCTGTGAGAGAGATTAAACAGAGACCCAAACAAGAAGATCAGCGGCTACATGATAGTTGTGAGCGACTTAATTTAAACAAGCAAGCATAAATTTCAGTAAGCAAATTACATAAAACTAGCTGTGCAGGTGAAAGATGCGACAAGCATAATTAGATGAGTAGAAGAAATGTCTGTATGTGAACACATTAAAACAGTATAAATTAAGGACTCACATATTTCACTGATATAAGCATGTGTTCTCAACAGATCAAGATTGTCAAATTTACCTTGCCTTCCATTATAAAACATCCCCTGATCATCTGGTCTGGAGAAAGATGCAGATTGCTCTTGCTTGCTGATCACTCCTGGATTTTGCTGAGGGTCTGAATCATGAGCAGTTTCATGCTTATTGCTGAAGGCAGCAATATCTTCAAACTTGTCCTTGTTCAAACTTAACTGCTCCTCCAATCGGCGCAAAGCTTGAGTAACCTCCAGTTCAGTTGAGGTTCCTGATTCTGCATCTGTTCCATCCAAGTGACCCATTCCATTGTTTAGAATGAACGCATCAGAGGTAACTTCTGCTGATCCAGGACTGGAGAAACTCTGATAAGGTTCATATGAATCACCAAGCATGGACATTGACCCTGGATTCTGAGTAGAATATGGGCTAGGACTCTGACTAAACACAGAGGAGGAACCTGGCGACAATTGTGCGCCAGCTCCAGAACTGTTCCTTCCCTACAACATGAGAATGCAAAAACAGTAATGAGGAACTCAAAGATGGGCTGCACAACAATTTTGCTATGCACATGGTGAATAACAGAATATGATCAAATAATTTCCATCCAAGATACCAAAAATGATTCAAGAGAAGATAAAAGTAAATCTTCATTTGAGACCCAAGGTCATTAGAAAGTAAAATAATTAGTGCGAAGCAACAGGGCATTGTAAATCTAAGGAATGATCACTAATTTTCTATTATCAGTAGCCCTTATCTTAGAGAATTAAATATTGAAGCTTCATTAGACTCACCTCGCTTGTGTCTCTATAATGCACAAGAACAATATGCTCATATGCCCTGTCATTAAACAATAGCATAATGAGTGATTATGAATAACTGCTACAATAACATATATACAAACATGTCTCACAAACAGTTATGTACATTGAAGGCTGATTGTGTTTCAAAGTCTGTGACAATTTAATCTTGGTAATTCTTTTAACATTCAGTTATCTTGAAAATGACTTTTTCCCAAAATTTGCATATTTCTTTTGAAAGATACAAGACAACATGCGGTCATAATAGTACATGGTAATGCAGTTAGCTAATAGTTAAATTTACTCACGGATCCAACATCCAATAACTCCGCCTCTGGAAATTAGGGTTCTGCTCTCCATGTGCATAGTAACAATTTAGGGCTTCAACATTTCCAACCTAGTCACTCAGAGTATGATCATTCAGATAGATGAAGTCAGTATATGGAATAACATTGCAAAAACAAATGTTGGCCTAGACTCATAAATAAAGTAACAATAAGTGAATAACGTTTTAAAAGAGTACTGCTGAGAAGAAATCGGTTATTTCAAAAGCATCTTAGAAGCACAGAGTTTGGGCTAGGAAATACAATTCAAAATGAAACTTCCAATGAGGAATTTTATATATTTTTTAATAATACCAACTGTCACCACTCACCATGTTTGAGATATCTATCAAAGTTTTGAATATATATTTTTTTTCCCAACAATTCAGGAGAGCCAACGAATTTTCCTCTTACATATATACTCATATGATGCCTTTCTACAACTGAGACCCCCTCTAAACATGTGTTAATAAGTTATCCTATTTCATGAACAACTAGCAAACACAACACCATAGACACTAGTAATGCACCTTCAACCGTTCATGTGCTTCTCCCACAGTTCTTCCGTCTCTTTTCTTGCGCCAGTTATGACCATCTTTACGGAAAAAACGCAGGACTCTTTTGTTAAACAGAAACAGGGATCCATCTGTTAAGAAGATCAATTAATAATGTTAAAAATCACCAATATACAGTCATTCCAAAGAAACAAACGGGAATGGCAAAGGCTGTCATTTTTTGTTTCTATCATCAAATGGATAAAGAGAGCAAGGATGTTACTTGTGGGCTGTTGTGGGGGCTCTTGGGTGAACTGGAACTTTTCATGATTCTGTAAAATGTACATCACTTCTGCAGGCTTCAGCCATCTGGCTTGAGCTTCTTGATGAAGATCATTAATATCGTAGTCGTAACCTGAGAGCACAACAATAAATAATTCAAAAGCCTTCCCATCATCATCGTCATCATCATTGCTTTCTTTTCTCCCTCTTTACAGTAAAAGAATTAGTTGAAATGGCGACAGTTGCAGAAAATAAAGAATCCCCTTTAGGCATTAATCAGAACTGCACAACGTAACTAACAACTTAAACTTTTCTGTCTATACATTCCCAATCAATTATTCCAATATTCCACATCCTTTGGAAGCAGAATGTGCTAATTGGAGCAAAATAATTGAGTAAATTAAATAAAATTGTTAAAAAAGAAAGTTACAGAGAATAATCTAAAAACCCTTTACTCCCGGTGCGAGTGTTTGATTTTCACCGACTCTAAAAACAGATAAGAGATTCCAAAATCCACATGGTCCCTATTTAAAGCATCAATCGCAGAAAAGGTAATAATACTGCACACACACAAAGCCCCAATTGATGCAGTTCACTTCAACTACCCACTCTACAAATCAAACCAAGTCAAATTCAATTCAGTTCACTGTACATCGCACCAAATCACCCCAATTTTCTTTTCTTTTTTATTTTTCAAAAGAAGACATAATAATAATGATGATAATAATAATAATAATAATCATAATAACATCATTAAGAGAAAGTAAACACGTTTACCAGGTGTCATGGTGTTAATTCCGGAGAATAAAAAGCTAGAAGTAGAACTGCACAGATTGCATTTTTGAAGCTGTAGAGGTTGCTAGATTTGATGCGGTGCGTTCTATAACTAGTGAAAATAAAAACACGGATTGGTCGGCTCGAAGCTCCAAAAGTGATGAAGAATGGGAGAAAGAAAATCGCAAAAGCAGAAAACACACAGACACAGTTGGCGTTTGTTGGGGTTGAGAATGAGAATTAAGCTTCAACGTTCTTCTATTAATCACGACCAAGACCACCAGCTATAAGAAAGTTTATTCTACACCACTCTTCTCACGTTTTTAATTTGTTTACAGATTTTTAAATGTCTATATAGCAAAAGCTTTACTATTACTAGTTGGAGCAAGTTTGATTTTTCCAAAGCAGTGAATGCAATTACATACTCCTTTCTTCGAAAATACGTACAGTAGACAACCTTTACGCTTATAGATATTATTAATTGTCGTTTTAAATATTTAAAGAAATTTAAAAAGATAAAATAAATATCAAAATAATATTCTAAATGATTTTTACTCTTCATTTATCTCTGTCTCTAAATATTCCTATTATTAATTTAATGAAATAAATAATGTGTACATTAGCAAAGGTATTTTTAGGTGACATTTTTAGTGATGTGTAAAGTGAACACACTCGATCTTATTAAGTGGCTGATCAGTGGGTCAAAAGTTCGATTGTGTATTTTTTTTAATTTATATAACGTGCCATAATTGAAGTTAACTAATATTTTTAAAAAATGAACGCAACTAATACATTAAAATCAAATTCCATCACAAAATTTATAAATCGCCCCTAGTACGATTATTGCGTGCGGAAATTTCCTTACAATTCAACTCTAAAAAGCTTCGTGAAGAAGTTTTCGTTTTTTATCGGTAGTTAAAAGTAATTTTCAGAAAAACATTTACTAAAGAGTCGATTTTAGCGAAAACAGCGAAAGGAAAACACTTCTTTCCCAGAAAGTCACATCCTTTTCTTATCTTTTCTTATTTTTATTTTTGATTTAATAAAAAGTATGTAATTTTAGTTCTTTATTAGAAACCAAAAGCATCTGTTTTTTGGGTATTTTTTGGAGACTGAAGTTGAATACATATATATATCAGAAGTAAAATTAAAATTGACGAAGTTTTTGGTCATAATTAATTATAATTCAAGAAATAAAAAGAAGTGTGAATGAGTGGGTGACTTCTTGGGCAACCTGGATAAGAATATGTATGATTATCAAATCACAAGGCAAGACTTGACAAAAATGAGAAAGAAAGACCTAGTCATAATTAAACACAAAAGACAAAATTGTACCGTGTGAATGTGAGTTGAAGGCGAATTCATCAAGTGTTCTTCATAGTAGTTGGCATTTGAGTTGATATTGACTTATCCATCTTCCAAAACAAACCAACTACATTTTCCATAACAAATGATAATACTAAGTGAGACGTGGAAAAAATGTCCAATATGGATGCTGTCAATCAATTAATTGTTCACATTTTAATATTATACTCTGCATTCATAGTTTCCTACTTCTACCTTTTTAATTACTGTTTATCTTCGTAAAAAAAAAAGTGCAACTTGCTTTAAAGTCTAACTAACTAAATATGAAAGACATAAAGAAATTCTTGCACATGATCAGTAAATGCTGATATTTTATACAAAGCGTACATATGTTTGTTGTTAAATTAACTTTAAATGTAATTTTAATAATGGGCAAAGAGTATTGGTATGACTGTTTACTTTTGAACACAAACTAGTATTTATGTGCATAGAATTATTACAGGTGTAGATTTATCCAAAGCTTCATACCGTGGAAGTTTTAAAGCTAAAACCGTGTGTGGAGAGTGCAGTGACTGACTGAGTTTATCAAGTTAAGTTTATGAAGAAAAGGTTTTTTTAGTTATTTTTATTTTTAACAATTGATAATTTTTTCTATAATTTTAAATGAAAGATCAAACTCCTGCATTTATTTGAATTAGATAATATGCTATTTTTAATGAGAAAATGTATATCTAAATAATACTTTTATTATTTATTTAAAATTATTAATATTTATAAAAATCCTTAATTTAAATGAATGATTAATTATAAATAGTTATTCGCTTTTTCCCTTTAAAACTAAATAAATATTATATATATCAAACTGACAAGATTAATGTTTTATTAATTATTGAGGAATACGAAACATCTTCCAAGCTCCAAAAAAGCCGTATACTAAACACGCAGTAGATTCACCTCCAATTTCCTATTTATTTTTATAATTAAACTCTTGAAATTAAGGAAAAATATAATTATTAGATTAAAGATATATAAAATATACTAAGTATTTATTAAAAAATTATTATTATTAATTACTTAAACTTATTTTAAAATTAACATTTATCTTATGTTTAGTCATATAGAAGCTGCCTCAATCGTTTGTCCAAGTTGATATAATCTCTCGAATTATAATATTGAACACTATTATTATATTATACAATAGTCATTATTTAACATCATATATATATATATATATATATATTCAAACATACCGTTCGCGTCAAACCAAAAAAAAAGTTGATTGAGTCGTTTTTCACAATTTAATATACGTTAATTCTGTTATTTAAGAAATAATAAATGATTATTTTTTTAATTAAAAATTAGATTAAAAGTCAAGCACATTAGAAATTAAAAAAAATTGATACATCATTAAGTTTTTAAAAATCACAATTTAAGATTTGACTTTGATCATTAATTAGCGAATAAAGGTTTTCAAAAGAAGAGGCCTAAAACACTGAATAGGAATAATGATATTGTAATGACTCGTTGTGTTATAAATTATTGCTCATAAGGTTTTGTTGATGAAATTTTCGTGCTGTCGTTATAAGACATTAAGATGGATGACTTTGGAGCTTAAGATATTAAATACATACTTAGTTCATTTTTATGGGTCATCGGAAAATAAGTGTGTTTTTTGTGAATGGTAGTCCAAAATCATGCAATATTTTTCGTCAAGGTAGATTCAAAGCTGTGTTGGCAAACTTATAAGAAAAACACTTTTTTTTTCTACAGGTAGGAGATAGTTTAGTCATTTGAATATATTTATTATGAAAATTATATTTAGATACTAAATCTATTATGATGTAATAAGAACTTCCGTTTAGAATTAACCTTACGAATTTTAATAATCTGGTTGAGATCAAAGTCGAGAGTTCTTCCCACTTGTAAAATGTAAACGATGGAAGAGAAATAAGTTTAGAAATAAACATAATCGTACTTTCAATATCATCAAGTTTTTAAATTAAACCTTTCGCTCTAAAATTTTATTTAATAGTTAATATAAATATGACAAAAATATAGCTTACCATTGATTTGTATAAAAAAGGTATGATATTTTTTATAGTAATTTTACTACAATTTTTTTTAAACAAGTCAAATAAATTTATATCTGAAAATTACTTTTCACCCGACGTATCCAAAAAATCTAAAAAAAAATAAAATTCTTTTCTATCTCATTTTTAAGTATAAATTATTTATTTTTATACGTTTAAAATCAACTTTAAGAGTTAGAATTATTAAAATAATTAATTATAATAATAAACAAAATCAATTACTAAAATAACACTTTTTTCTCACTGCTAATTAAATCACTTCTCTGAGCTTTATCTTCTCACACATGCACGATGGCAATGGCAACTGAATTAACAGAGAGCCTTGTAGTTTGTAGAAGGCGTGTGAAGTGAATCCAAAGCAGAAACCAATGCAATAAGCACACCTCTAATTCCTTGCTTCCAGAGCACATAATCGGTGGAAGCAGAAGCACCACCCAATTGCAATTAGCATGTGAAGCAAGTTATTCTTAATCCAAATCCAAATCCAAGTCCAATTTCAAAGCACATCACATGAACACAGCGGCAGTGAATCCACAGTGACTTAACCCCCTAAGCCTCCTCTCACACCTGCTTTGTTAATTGTCCCCTTACTCACAATCACAGTCCAATGTTGCATTTATATATAATCATAATAACCTTCCCTGGAATACCCCACAAGCTAGCATTAGCATTAGCATAAGCATTAGCAATAGTAACATTAATTTAGTGTGTTCCACTAACACAAGCTAGCATTTTGCAATTGCAATAGGACAAATTGGAAAACATGTCGGATTGGGGCCCAGTGTTTGTGTCATTGGTGCTGTTTGTGTTGTTAACACCAGGCTTGCTATTCCAGGTACCTGGAAGGTCAAGGTGTGTGGAATTTGGCAACTTTCAAACTAGTGGTGCTTCCATACTCATCCACTCACTCCTCTATTTTGGTCTCATCTGTGTGTTCCTTCTCGCTGTTAAGGTCCACTTGTACCTCGGCTAATTGTTACACCTTATCATAGAATATAAATCATGGGCAAATAAATCTATGTAGTATCTTTGTCCTATTCTTACTGCGTGTAATAATAATTCATATGGTTGTATTTTTATTTTTACTTTTTGGTTCTTCATACTTTATTTTCACGGTTGTTGTGCCTGTATTCAGTTTTCCTTTAATGAATTATAATACTTGATTTTATTCACTTGCATTTGAGATGTCTGAGGCTGTTATACTTGGATTAATTTACAGCGTTTTTTTAATTCAGTTCATAGCTTGATTTGACTTGGTGAAATGCTGGAAAAGAAAAAAGGTGCAGCACTACTGCAAATTGATCACCCGTCAAGACCGTGTTTGTTTTATTTTCCTCTTCAATTATTGCCAAGTGCACATTATACTGACTATTTTGTATAATCGGCAAATCCTAAATCTTAAACTCTGAGAAATTCTTGCTCTGATGTGGCGTAGTTAAATTAGTTATACTAAATCAGTAAAATATTGTACACATAGTTGATTTTAGTTAAATGGACATGTTTGTATAGTATATTAATAAATATATGATGTTGTTAACTTAAGAATAATGAAAATATATTATTTTTAAATTCTTAAACGCAATTCTAAAAATTGAGATTAATCAAACTAAAGAATGAAATAAAAGGCACTTCTAAGTGACGTTCCCCAGAATTGCTCATGCTATAAAATTGGATATACTAAATTTATGCAAAAACATGACATTGTTGGACATATTTTTTAGTTAATAAACGAAAACGTTTCTCTATTAAAAAATAATATGTTTATGCATTCAAGAATCTCATATATAGAAGGAATGGCAGTAGAAACAGGAACTCGGAATCTTTGTTTTTTATATCTGTAAAACAACAAACCTCTCTCTCTCTCTCTTTGGTGGCGTTTTACACCGTTTGTAGTGTCGGGGATGACGATGAATTAAGTCGGGTCGGGTCGGGTCGGGATATAAGATATAATAATTAACCCAAATTAATTAAGAAAATATTTTTTTTTATAAGTTTTAATTAATTGACATGTATTAAAAAAGTTTACTAAAGATTAGATGTGTATTTAATATACTTTTATAATTTGTTCGTGTCCCATTGATTAAGAGAAATGCATGTTCTCTTAGCATTTTTTCTAAAGCACAATTGTCAGTTTTAAACAAAGTAAACATATGATGTCATCTCTCTGACACTAATTTATGTTGATTTAATCTTTAAAAGAAATTTGTGTGTGTATATATTTATAATAATTTAGTCTTTCTTTTGCGAAATTGACCATTTTTTAGACTAAAATTTTCATGAATCAAATTGAGAGAAAAAGAACTAATTTATCATATTAAATCATGCATACCTAAATTCTTTAATTTAATCTATACACATAAAACCATTTTTAATGGAAATTTTTACTGAATTTCTAATGTTGAGGGACTAAAAATTTATATGCACGTGTAGCAATTTTTTTTTTTGTCTAAAAATTGGCCTCGTTTTTTTAATTCCATTTTGTTATAAGCAACGGTTGCAAGAACAAAGTTGCTCTTACCAATTTAGAAGATGTTTATATATTTACTCGTTAAAATATATGGATTATTTTTACTTCTTTCTAATTCAAATTGTATTATAATAACTTGGTGCATTACTATTTTTTTGGGTTAATAATGCATGAATTGTTTGATACCTTTGGATACATTGAGAAACCACAAAGAAAAAAGGGGTCAACAAAGGTCCAATCAGCAATACAAAACAGCCCCAAAGATGGATTATTTGCGTCCTCTCTCCAAACTGTGAGTTGTCTCCAATGGTGATCTTGTTCATCCCTGCCCATGGCCTGCCTTGGCAGTCTATCTCAATCTCTCATCCATCTGAGTGCAGAAATATTTAAATTGCTAGATGATATTTTTATATTAGAGTAGGAGAAAAAATTTTAAAAGTTGATTTCCATTTAATAACAAAAAATATTAAAGATTATGTTTTATTATTTCTCAAAATTAAAACTACACGCCCCTACTATTAAATTTAAAATAAATTATATTTTTCTAAGATATGTTTCCCTATTTCGAGACGCAACATTATGTTTCCTTGAGAGATTGAGATATGTTATGTTTTAATTTATTTTAATGTAAATTAGCATTTTGTAAATGTATTTGTTCTCTGTCTTTTATACACATTGTCATCGATGATTATTTTTGCATTTTTACTATCAACTGTTTGGGATAAGAAAAATTTTCTAAGTTAAAAATCATCTTGAAGGAAACTACATTTCAACAAGTTTTGAGGGTCAAGAAGGAGTCAAAGATAAACCTGAGCATAAGAGAATATTAGAAGATATTTGGTTTTAATTAAAAGGAACACATTTCGAGCTATTTTAAGATATTTTTGTCACATTGTTGATTTTTCTCTAAACTGCTTGAAAGACAAGAAAATATTCTAAGACCACAAAACTAAAGGCTTTTTCGAGAAGTTTTGAGGAGTTTTTAAGTCACTGACACCCAAAACTACTCGAAAAATAGAACTGGCAAGAAAATATTCCAAGTCCACAAAACTGATGGTTTTTCGAGGAGTTTTGAGGAGTTTTCAAGTCCCTGACACCCAAAACAGCTCGAAAAATAAGACTAACAGGAAAATATTCTAAGTCCACAACAAACTGATGGCTTTTCGAGGAATATTTGAGGAGTTTTCAAGTACCTGATACCCAAAACTGCTCGAAAAGCAGGAAGTGGTAAGAAAATATTCCAAGTCCATAAACTTGGCTGAGCTCCAGATTTCCTCCAGAATTGCTCGAAAAACAAGAAGTGGTCAGAAAATATTCTAAGTCCATAAATCTGGTCGAGCTCAAGAGTCTCTCCAAAATTGCTCGAAAAACAGAAATGAGCAAAGAAAATGTTCTAAGTCCACAAGACCAAGACAGACTCTCAAAACTCCAGAATGGCTCGAAAAGAGAAGTCAAGAAGAAACTATTCCAAGGCCATAACATTAAAAGAGTTTCCTAGGTTTCTCTCAGAAATACTCGAAAGATAGGAGTATTGAAAAATCCAAAAGCGGTTACCAGTAGTTATCAACATTCATCACTACGCAAAGGAGATCATGCGCGATAGCGGTTACAGCCCCAACAAACAGCACGATCACAAGCAATCGTGGATAGTGAGCATCAACAGTTGAAGGCAGTTACTAAGAAGTGCCCGCAAAAGGAGGAAAATGGTGGTGATCTTCATGTCTATAAATACTACAAAGCATTATTTCACAGAGGACGACTTTTTGCACCCAGACACCGCACCTAAACACTCTGAGACGCTGAAACCCTGCACCGCGCCAGACACCAGCTACAAGGAGACCCACGGTGACCGTTGTTCGTCGTTGTGAGGAGTCGTACGTTTACTTTCCAGCACCTTTACATTCCTACATTTACCTTTCTGCATTTTAATTTCAGTGCTTGTTGCTTGTATCTATGTACACTGTTTGTTTCCAGTTTACTACATTTTTGTAAAAGCATCTGCGTTTGATTCAATTCTGCACATTTATTATTCACTATTCTTGCTTAATACTCTTTTACGCTGTTAATCTGAACATCACGTTAACAACACACTTAAAAGAACCCAAAGAGGACCTAAATCCAGTACCCAGATTGATCTTTGGATTATTTGTTTACAACAGTCATTTTTCACCGTAAACAAATTGGCACGCCCAATGGGACGATATTGTGTGTTTTGAATGATTGATTGCTTTGTTGCATGATATTACGTAACGGACGTTGTATTATGACTAATAGAGGAAGAAATAGTGATTCGAGTTCTGGGAATGGCAATTCTAGAAGTGATGGTAGTGATACCAATCCAGAGAAGGTAAGCGGCAATACTACTACTGCCGCACAACCCACACCAACGACGGTGTTACCTTGATAACCACGTCGCAATGGTATCAAACAAGCTAGATTTTCTCAAAAATTTGTGCAATACAAGAAGCAAACCTAGGTCATCTCTCAAGGACATAAAATGCATTTTATTTTTAGTTCCATCATGCAATTTCAAATTAGATTGGGGGAGGATTTGTTTTGAATTTAAACGACAAAATAACAAAAACGAAAATTAAGGATTATGAAATTCAACCAATTCAAGATCTCAATCCCTACAATGTAATTCTCGTCGTTCACACAAATATAATCCCAACGAATTTCCAATCACACTAATTCAATACGCATCAACAATCCTAAAATCTAAATCTAGATTATGAATTCCATCAAAACAAGAACTGCAATCGCAAACCCAATGCTTTAACAAAATTTAGAACAATTGATTGATTAAATTAGGTGAATCTAATTAATTCAAATATGAAATTAACCTATTCTTTCTATTTAGGATGCAACGAAAATTCCATATCATGAAAAACGTAATTAACCTAATTAGAAAAGAGGAAGGAAAGGAGGAATTCGATAAAACCTATTTTGAAACTCGAATGCAATGTAGTTTTTGAAACCTTGAACCGGTTGATGAATTAGCCTTGCTTCATAATCATGTTGCTCGACCAATTAGAGAAGGGGATGAAGTTTTCGAAAATAAAAGAGAGGGAGACGAGAGGAATCCTTACGAAAGCTTTTATTTAAAAATTCTGAAAATTAAGGCAAAAAAGAGGGAAGAAGATCCCCACGCGAAATCATAAACCCTATTTAAAGACAAAATAATTGGGCTTAATTAAGGCCCAGCTTCCTAACGAGGTTCCTAAAACCCTAATTAAGTAATGTCAACAATAAAACCAAATTCTGAAAAATTCATTGCAGGACCGCAACATTGTGACGCAGTTTTGGGCCTGAAGATGTTCGAACTGGGCTTTTCTCGCAACAGAGAAGTTGTATATCTCTCTCTTATCTTTCCAGGGACACCAATTTTGTCCAATTCCGAGTAGTGTAGCTCCAGATATGGTCTTTTCAAGAAACTGTATCAAAACAAGAATTTATGGCGGGAATTAAGAAATATTTAAATTTAAATCCTAAATGACTTACCAACACAAATCTAAACTAACACATCAAAATAATATACTAAAAAGACTCAATTAAATCGAAAACATAGAGAGAAAGATGTATTAAAATATGACTATCAAACCTACGCCGTCATCTTTCGTAGTTAGCCAATTTATGGCTACTATGCCGCCAACTAATCCCAGCATAAACCCTGGCCCAAGGCCAAGGCTGGGTGATCACCCATTTGGCTTACCTCCCGTGTGTATGCCTCCTATCTTTGGAGTATCAACCTACTCCAACCCTGTGGTGACAACCGTGTCACCCTAGAGTCAAACCATTCCACCGGGAATGAGTGTACTCCATACCATTCCACCGGGAATGGGTACGATTGGTGGAGTACCTGAAACGCAATTTGCGTTTGGAGCTTCGAGTGGGGATTCACTTCCTACTAGCTCGTTTTCGAATGTTGCCTTACATTCCATGAGGCAACAAATGGATGAAAGCAATCACGAGATGGTCAATATGTTGACTCATCAAATGACCACTGTGTTGAATCCCATAGTGGAAACGACTAATACCAGCTATCAAATTTTGGCTGAACAAATGCGTCGAATTGCTGACGTTTTTGGGGCACCTCGAGTCCCTATAAGGCAAGGGCAAAATGTTGCCTAAACATCTAATCAAGATGCTACAAATCTTGGTCGAAATGGTCAAATTTTCGAGCAAAATAGACCAAATTTTGGTCCAAATCTTCCGAGACAAAATGAGGGAAATTTTCAGGTAGACCAACCCCTAGTTTTTGCTCGAAATCCAAATGCTCCATTTGGGCAAATTGGTCGAAATCTCGACCAAAATCTTTTGAGACAAAATGAGGGTGATTTCCAGGGAAATCAACCCTTTATTATTGCTCGAAATCAGAATGCTGATGAAATACTTGAGCAAGTTAGGCAAAATAATGTAGGGGGCATCAAATTCAATATCCAAACAACCCGAATCCTCAAAATATTGCCAATGTAGTCGAACAAGTCCTGAATCAACATGGGTTCGACGTAGGGTATGCTAATAGACCCAACTTTGTCTCAGCATTCTTTGAGGCAATTTTGCAGGCTAAACTGCCTCGGGGCTGGAAAGTCCCAAAATTCACTAAATTTGTCGGAGATTCCGGTGAATCTACAGTAGAACATATAGCTAGATACGCCATAGAATGTGGAGATTTAGCTCGAAATGAAGATTTAAAGTTAAAGTACTTTCCTAGTTCTTTGACTAAGGGGGCCTTTACCTGGTTCACAAACTTACCCCCGAATTCAATTCATAATTGGAATCAATTAGAAAGAAGGTTTCATGAACAATTCTTTCGTGGTGAAGCGAAAGTTAGCTTAATGGATTTGGTTAATATAAAAAGAATACATCATGAATCCATTGATGATTATCTAAGTAGATTTCGACAAATGAGGTCGAGATGTTTTACTCAAATTTCAGAATATGAACTAGTCCAAATGGCTATAGGCGAATTAAAGTACTTGATTAGAAAGAAATTGATTAATCAGCAGTTAAGAGACATGTCGCAGTTAGCGACGAGAGTGAGGCAAATCGAGTAACTTAAGGCTGAAAAATTTGTCCCTAAGAAAATAGAGAAATTTCCTCGAAAAGACAAAGTGGCTTACATAGGTCTCGCTGAAGGAGAAATAGGAAGCGAGAATGATCTCGACGAAGAAGATGTCGATTTAGGGGTAAATGAGGTAAATGTAGCTGAATTAAAACCAGGACCCCCTTATGTTTGCCAGTCTTTAAAACCACTCGAAATTAAGGACAAAACTCGACCTAACAAGAGTTATGCCTTTGATGTATCTAAAGCTGATCATATTTTCGACATTTTATTGAAGGATGGGCAAATTATATTATCTGATGATCATAAAATCCCTACTGTAGAACAAAGAAAGGGTCAAAAATATTGTAAGTTTCATCATGTTTATGGTCATTGGACTAATAACTGTGTTCGTTTTAGGGATCTTATTCAGGACGCCATTAAGCAAGGACGATTAAAATTCGAGCAAAAAACCAAAATGCCGATGAAAATCGATTCTGATCCCATGCAAATAGAAGCTAATTTTGTGGAACCTATCGACATACTGATGGTCGATGTTGCTGAACAACAAGGGTCATTCGATCGAGCTGTAGAAGAGTTAGAAGGAAAAGGCTCTTTGAATGACACCCTCGAAGCCTTCGAGAAGGAAGAAGCTGAAATCTTCCCAAAGGCTGGTGACTCGCTGCTGGACTTTCTAACTCGAAAGAAGGAAACAGACAGTGAGGTCATGCTGTGCCCGAGGTGCAGTGCCGTTTTCGATAAAGCGGCGGCTAAAGCCTTCGATCAATCAAAGATGAAGAAACACTATCAGGTAACCACCAACTAGGTGATCACCAAGAACAAAGGGATCCAGACCCAGAATGCCTCTATCACCATACGTGATCCCCAGACTGTTCAAAGCAGGACCTTCGTACCTGCTCAAAACGTTCCGAGCAACACATGGGTTCGAAACGTGCTACACCCATCATTAACTCGACCAAAATTGCAGATGGTTGAAAAGGGCGGACCGTCACATTCGATGGTCATGCCACAACAAGTTTTCTCACAACCCAAGTTTTTCACTCAAACTGGGTGCCAGAATCCATCTGGGAGCCATTTTCAGTCGAAAAAGCCCTATTTTAAGGCTCCTATGACTAAAACTCAGTGGCGAAGGGCTCAAAGAATCAGGAAGGCTGAGCATGAAGCACAAGCCTTGGTTCAAGCTCGAGCTCAAGTCCAGGCACAAGCTCAAGCTCGAATCCAAGCCCAAATTCGAGCTCAAAATCAAGTCCAACAAGCCAAGGGAAATGCCGCCAGAAATATGCGGTGTACCTCGGTTAGTGTCGAAGTCAAAATGACTCAAGAGAGAGCACCAGCAATGAAGAAAGACTTGAAGATGAAGAGTCCAGAAATCGAGTACGATGCAGATGATGAATTGATCACCGATGTATTCGAATCAGGCTTTGAAGATGATCTCGAGGACATACTTAGGGTTGTATCCATGCTGCCTGCTGAATATGCCGAAGGCATCGGCAAAGGAGATGAAGAAGACTTCTATGCCGATGACGAACCCGATAATAACCCATGGGGTTATTGTTATTTGGCAAAGGATGGTTCACTTGCTAAATCGTCGGCTGTTTTTGAGAAGCCGACACGTGAAATGAAGAGTCATATGAAGCCGCTATACATTGCGGCTCGAATTAACGAAAAATTTCGAGTAAACAAAGTCCTCGTGGATTTTGGGGCAGCTATCAATATTATGCCCAGTTTTTTACTGAAAAAGATTGGGAAATCTGAAGAGGATTTGCTCCCACACAACTTGGTACTAACGGACTATGAAGGGAAATCTTCAAGTTCCAAAGGGGCCCTAATCGTTAACTTGAGGGTTGGATCTGTTTCTCGACCAACCATCTTCGTAGTGGTAGCTTCTAAGGCAAGTTATAATCTATTGCTCGGGAGAGAATGGATTCATGGGGTTGGGGCAGTACCTTCGTCACTGCATCAGAAACTATGTCTTTGGAATAACAACGGAGTGTTGGAATACGTCGATGGAGATCAGAGCTATTTTAAGGCTGAAGTTCATGTAAACAGTCTCGATAGCAAAACATTTGACAAGTCTTTTGCCAACATTGCGCCACTCCGTATAGAAGATATAGGCGGCCCTTGTTTTGGCCGAAATCCTCTCCTGCCAAATGCTCGCGAAATTCGACACCAGATTCGCCTAGACCCTTCGATGGGTTTTTACGGCTTCCAAGAAATAGTGGAGGCCGAAAAGAATGGAAATAAAGAGCCTTGAAAAGAGCCTTTTGGCTCGAATTTCGGCTTACGTAGCCGAAAATAAAATAAAAATGGCTCTCGAAGCCAGGGATACTTCAGAGGCCGATAAATTTAGTTCGGCCATAAAATCACAAAAAATAGAAGAAATCTCGGCCCATAAAGCCGTAGACCCAATCCAAGGCCATGCAGATATCAACATGGTCGAAAGTTCGGTTCATCTAGCCGAAAGAAGAGAAGCGGCCCTAAAAGTGGCTGAAGGATTGGAGGCCGATTCACCATATTCGGCCATTACGACAAATTCGGCTTATCTAGCCGAACAAAGGCACACATAACTCGAAACATGTGTGATTTAAAAAGAATCGGTTCTAGAGACCAAAGGCAACGATATCCGGCTCGATTGCATCTACGATGATGAACCGATTAGCTTCGAGAAAGATTCAGCTCGAAAAGGGCCAAAAATGGAGGCACAAGATCCCTTAGAAGAAGTGAACCTCGGAGATGAAAAGGAGCCGAGGTTAACTTTCATCAGTAAATTGGTCGACGGAGAAGTGAAAGACCAATTAATCAAGCTACTAAGGGAATTTAAGGATTGCTTCGCCTGGGATTATGACCAGATGTCAGGCCTTTCGAGGGAATTAGTCGAACATCGACTCCCAATTCGACCAGAAAAGAGGCCAGTAAAGCAACCACCTAGGAGATTTGCGCCAGAGATTTTGCCAAAAATCAAGGAAGAGATCAAAAGGCTCCTTAGAGCAAAGTTTATTTGTACAGCCAGGTATGTTGACTGGATCTCGAACATAATACCTGTGATTAAGAAAAATGGATCTCTTAGAGTTTGCATTAATTTTTGAAATCTAAATACTGCTACACCAAAAGATGAATACCCTATGCCAATAGCCGATATGTTAGTAGATTCGGCAGCAGGTAATGAAATTTTAAGTTTGTTAGATGGATATTCAGGGTACAACCAAATTTTTACCGCTGAAGAGGATATATCGAAAACAGCTTTTCGATGCCCTGGGGCTTTAGGAACTTATGAATGGGTAGTAATGCCATTCGGATTAAAAAATGCTGGAGCTACATACCAGAGGGCAATGAACACTATTTTTCATGACATAATAGGAGAATTTTTGCAAGTTTATATTGATGATATTGTCGTGAAGTCTAAGTATAAAAGTGACCATGTTGGTCATCTTCGACAAGCATTTGAAAGAATGCGAAAATATGGCTTGAAGATGAATCCTCTAAAGTGTGCTTTTGGTGTTATGGCAGGACAGTTCCTTGGATTTATTGTTCACCAAAAAGGAATTGAAATCGACAAGAATAAGGCCAAAGCAATATCTGAGACACAAGCCCCGTCGACTAAAAAACAACTGCAATCGTTGCTAGGGAAAATAAATTTTCTACGAAGATTTATTTCCAACCTTTCTGGCAAGGTTAAAATCTTCTCACCCCTATTGAAGTTAAAGAAAGAAGAAGAGTTTCGATGGGAGGTAGAACATCAAGCTGTTTTTGAGGAGATAAAGCAATATCTGACACAACCACCAGTAATTGTTCCGCCAAAGAAAGGTTTTCCCTTGAAGTTAGATATCTCGACATCAGAAGAAACTATTGGGAGCATGCTAGCTCAAGAAGACGAAAATGGTGTCGAAAGAGCTGTTTATTATCTTAGTCG